GTTCGCATCTTGCCTACGTTCCAAGTTATCCCTCGAGCCCAATACCCGCTCCACCCTCGCGTCTTGGGTGGGCGATGCTGTGCTCAGCTGACTGCATCCTTTGAAAATCACTTTCAGGTCTGGGGCTATTAAGAGGAGCAGCTTTATAATTGAGAGTAATTGTAGGTCTTCCTTATCAACGGGGACCAAACACAAACACCATTAGGGCTGGCTCACAAGCTGGTAGATGACACACAGAAGAAGCTGTCTGCAAGGTTGGAAAGTGCGGCATTATCACCTACGCTCTACTAAAAGGAGACCAGGAGACTCTCCCAGAGCAGCAGGGGAAGAAACAAGAGAAATTAGATCCTCGGGCTCCTTATTTCCAATATGGATTTCCAAATCCAAATCCCCACTGCTACAGACCATTTGCTCCTTGGATAGGCTTTTGGGGCTGATGTCGACACTAGATCATTCTGCTGTAGATCTAGGGCGATATCGATCTTGAGAAGTTGGAACAATCCAGGTCTCCTCCTCAACATCCCGTTAACTTAAATTGGTCCCCAGTGACTCAGCACGGCTGACATGTCTCTCTATGCACACCTAAGGCCAAATGAACCAAGTGTGGGTGCCTTCGACCTTTCACTCTTTCTTTCTGGTGTAGAACGGGCAAAAGATCAGTGGAGCCAAAGCTCATTCAGAGCCGCGGGAGTCCGCAAAGAGAACGAGCTGCACGTGGTGGGGAGCAAATGCAAAAGCCAGCAGGAGATGAGATCCGGGAGGAGTTTGGGTGCCTGCATGGCACAGATGTTTACAGTCCTCCACCTGGAAGAACGCCCACGCCTCACAAGACCCGCCTATCCTGCACGTCCGATCTCCTCCATTCAGCTTGCACACGCTGAGGGCACGGACGGATATTCTACCCAGCACCCGCAGTTCCTCTTGCACAGTGGGAGGTGTCCCCGGGCCCTGCACCCCCTATGGCCTACGAAAGGTAGAGAACCGCCTAGGACGCCCAAACTGCCTCCCCGGCATAGCTGGGGTCGTGCACGTGGTCTCCCTTCTCAGCCACAAACAACTCTCCCCTGCTGATGCTGATGTGTTTACATCCTCAATGAAGACACAACAGAAGACTCACAGCCTGCAGAAGTCGCGTCGCAGAACTACAGCACTAAAACAGATACATGCGGCATAAAAGCAATGAAAATAAAATCGTGTCCTACAAAAAGTGAGCAGTGATCGTGCATGGTGCTCATCAAGCACACATGCTATGGAATGTTCTCCCGGCTGGCATGAAGGATTCGCCAGTCTCCAGATCCGATCAGGCCTCTCCCCCCGGCAGCGCTGTGCCGAGAAAAAGCTATGGGGCTGAGCAGGTGAAAGCAGCAGCCAGGCCGGGGCAGAGATGGCCGGGGGATATGAACGTGATCAAACACTGAGGAGGACTACTAGAACATGTAGAGAAGGCGTCACCAGGTTCTGAGCAGGAGGAAGGTACTAGGCTGAGGCTGGCAAATGCCAACTGGTCCAGGATTGGAGAAGTTGCTGGGCTTGTGCCCAAAAGCGCACCAAGTCATGCCAACATGAGGTTCCCTGCCAATGGCTGCCTTTCAGCAGGGGAGCTCGAGGTTTCCCTTGAGAGTTTTAACTCATCTAGACAGACTACTGCTGGTGGCGCGATGGTGAGAGTCCTCCACTGTGAACTGGAAGCTTGTCAGTTTGAACCCATCAGATGCTCCAGGGACAAAGATGTGGCAATCGACAGCCTGGAAAACTCTCAGGCATAGCAGGGTGGCTCTACTGTCCTATCAGGTCAGTGTGAGTCAGAATCAACTTGAAAAAGGTTTTGTTTTTTAGATGAAATCAAAAAGCCTCAGCTTTTTGAAAACCACCCTCATCAATATAGATCTCTAGCCAGCTAGCTATATACACATATGGACAAGCTATTTTTTAACAGTAAAAATTGCTGGACTGTTCTCATTTCTCAAACTCATATTTCCACTCCACTCGTCTCACAGAATTTTCTCTCAATAAGTTTAATCCCTGAATGACTTTTATTAATCTTCCTATTCTATCTCAGCTGGGACAAAAAATGTGTATAAACTAAAATGGTTTCTATAGGTTTTTTTCTTTTTAATTTCCTGTAACCAAAAGGCTGGAAAGAATTGCATTTTCTTCTGGTTTGAGCTATCATTACTAATGTGCACAACTGATCCATACAATAAGAGCTTGGACTAGAATGCTAATCCATGTAATACAGAGAAATGGATAGGGCTTATTTTTCTGTAACTAACTCATGCATAGATGAATATTACTTCTTGCTAAAATGAGTCTGAAGCAGCCATAGTGGTCTTGTCAGGAAGTGTTAGGTGCTGATCACAAGGTCAAAGATTCAAACTCACCGGCCGCTCTGTGGAGAGATCAGGCTGTCTGCTCCTATAAAGATGTACAGCCTCATATATGTGTACCTATATAGGGTTGTATATGTAGAACCTTACATAAGGTCCACCATGAGTGGGAATCGACTCAATAGTGGTGTTTTTCTTTTCTTATTCAATTAGTGAATTGTCAAGCTCATCTCTCCCCAACCCCCCACATTTATAAATGTCAATCGGAAGAAATCTTATTCATATAAACAAGAAGGACATGAAAGTGATCCTTCATGTTCATATCACCGGGATATATTTTTGATTGTTTATCATCTGTGAACTGGTCTAGATTGTCCACTTTTGCTGAAAGCCAAGAAGTGAAACCCAGTTTTGGGAAAGGGCACCACAGAAGTTGGGAACCAGGAAGCAAACCATGAACCTTAAACTCCCTGTGATGGTGAGGTTTTGTGTCAACTTGGCACACCTGTAAGGAGATGCCGGTGGAGTCCAACCTATCAATCAGGTCACAGCCTAATGATGTCTCCTTGTGGGGATGGCCTATTTATAAGAGAGCCTGTGGAGAACTAGTATCTCTCTTGCGCCTGTCCTTACTCGATTGGTTTCTGTCTGCATGTGGCTTCTGGGCAGGTGGCATCTGGCTGCCAATCCTGAGAGCTGTCTGAGTTCTACCATACTCCTGCCGACCCTGGAACCACATGACTCTGAAACCTGTGATCAACCAGCTTCCAGCGTCACCTTCCTGCCTCAATGACTGGCAGCTGTGTGAGGCTGGAGGGGGCTCCAGCTAGCATCTGACCCATGGATTTGAGTAGGACTGAGCACGGCCACTTCACTGATACACATTTCTTTCCTAATATAAAGTTTTTTCTTATACATATGAGTGTCACTGGTTTTGTGCAAATACTCTCCATGTCTTTGTATTTCCTGAAGAGTCTCCATGTTTCCCATGTGTACTGATACCCCAGCTGGAGCACTGCTCCCCTAGACAAGGATGTGGTTGCAAGGCTCTCTCTCCACTTACAAGCTTTACACACACACACACACACACACACACACACACACACACACACGCCGTTTAATTTATACAGGAATTCCCTTATTGCACACAAACCGTTTATAGAACCTAGAGAAGAAATAAATTTTTAAAAAAGGAGAAACAAAATTCTTGTTCAACTTTTTTTTTTCAAATGAGGGATGAAACTAATAAGTCATAGTGCCTTGACAAAATAGAAAGTATATTCAAACTCTAGGGGGGAAAGTACAATAATTTTAGAAACTTAGAGGAAAAAGCTGGGACACAATCTCATTGTTAATCATAGGAAGACTACTGAATAAATGATGATGCTATAACCATGTACATTTGAACTTGAAGAAGATATATTGATGCATTTTGATGCTAGAAATAAACTTGTATATAAATATTTATGGTAATTTATAAAAGCAGGTACGTGTGAAAAGGGACTCATAAAAATTTATTAATCCAACAGGGTATTCCTTTGGGTGTGATGGTAGACAGCTTTCTTTTTTTGTTCCTTTAATGCTTTCCAAATATTCCACAGGTGAGGGGCGTAAAAGTGAAGGGAAGGGAAAGGTGGAGAAATAAGTTCATAGCTTGAAGTGGGTGACAGGAGGCAACAGTTTTGTGCCCCGCTAGTCTGAGCAAGAGCCTAAGTGCACCACACCCTCCAGAGGGGGGCACTGTTGGTAATTCCCACTGATGAATAAATACATCAGGTAGGTTTCAGGCAGCCTCTTCTTGACTCTTTTGATTCCTGCACTACTGACTTCTCATCACTCATTCTTTTGGATCATGGTACTTAGTCCACAGAGTAGAAAGTCAAAGCATCCTCAAGAAATAGCACATCTCATGGATGAAACAAACAAACAAAAGAGCCATCAACCAACAAGTAAAATGTTATCAACCAACACATTTATTTGGACCTTTAACGAAAGGCCGTGGCTGAAGGCTACTTGACTGCAGGTGAATCTACCAGTGAAAGAAGTGTAAGATACTTCACTATGCTACAACTCCGTTGTAGATTATGCAACTCACCTCAGCAAATGGGGAGGAATCTTGGCGATGGTATCCAGACAACCTAGAGTTTCTGGGAGGAAAAAACAAAAAAAAGTTGGAATTTAAAATCAGTCAAGGCTGACAGTCTGCCCATAGTACGCAAGCATCACTGTTAGTAGCCCCAAGCACTGACAATGACAAATTAGGCAATTCTCAATGGCCTGTGTGCAAGTCCTCGTAATGAAAAATGCTTCCCCCTGCTAGCCCCATGACTTCCTCCGGTTGTGCCTCACTAAAGGTAGGGGAGATTTCAGAATTAGGACAGTCCCCTGGAGGGACAAATGATGAAAAGTTAGGTTCCTAACCTGACCCAAAATGCCCATGTAATCTCATTCAATCTGGCTAAAGTATATCTTCAAATCCTCACGGCGGATTCCGATTTGCAGTGACCCTGTAGGGCAGAGTGGATCCTGAGGAGAACTGCCCTGTAGGGAAGCCGAAGGCCACATCGCTCTCTTTCGAGCGGCTGGTGGGTTCAAATCATTTATCTTTCTTTTCGCAGCCAAGCACCTTAACCACCGCACCACCAGGCATCCCCCAAATACGACCTAGAACCATACAAACAGAGGAATGGGAGCCGTTTCCTTGAAATTATTGTCTCGAGAGCCCTTGTGGCACACCTAACCGGTATTCATTGGGCTGCTCAGCGAAAGATCAGCAGTTTGAATCTACCAGGTGCTCTCCAAGAGAAAGATCAGGCCTCTGTTCCCAGGAAGATATACTGCCTCGGAAACCAAAGGGGCAGTTCTACTGCATCCTCTCTGCACTGGGCTGCTAATCCAAGGTCAGCAATTCAAAACCAGCAGCTGCTCCATGGGAGAGAGATGAAACGTCCTGTTCTCATGAAGAGTTAGCCTCGAAAACTCACAGGGGCAGTTCTACCCGGTCCTATAAGGTCACCGTAAGTCGGAACCAACCTATGGCAGTGAGTTTGTTTCGTGGTTTGTTTTTGAGAAGTAGCTCAAAATGCACCTAGATTAGATCAGTCTAACAGTTGACTGGGCAAAGACCATCGCTCAGGACAAACAAATGCTCCTGGCTAAAAGGAGGCTATGGTACTTAGAAACCATGTCATCACGGATGTCTCTGCCAGACTCGCGGGCTAATATCCACCACAGGGTGTGGGACCCTGCCAGCTCTATAAACGCTCAGAACGAGGGCAGCAACCATAGAGTAGCCACAAGGAGAACTGGCCAGCAGAGCTCGGAGGATCCAAGGACAAAAGGGTGTGCAGAGAGAGTACTACAGATCTCCAGAAGTCACCCACGTGAGGGTGCAGGGCAGAGAGCATCGTGCCAGCACCGAAGAGAGAACAGAGAGAACCAGGTTCAACATCTGGATCCACATCAGCAGGGGACGCAGTGGGATTGGGGGGGCAAGTCCCGTATGCTCTAGAAGCTTCAGTTCCCTCATCTCCAAAATCAAAGCCCATAACACCCCCCTCATACCGTTCTCCTGAGGAGCTAGTTCAACAACAAAAGTAAAGAGCCTGATGCAATCCTCAGATGTCAGCATCAGTTCCTATCTCCTTTCCTAAATATTGAGCCAGGCGCTAGGGACGCAATGAGGACAGACACGGTGCTGCACTCGTGGGGCACACAGTCTAGTTCCAAACTAAGGAACACACCAGGAAGGGAAAGGACAGAGAATTATATGGAGTCAGAACAGACGGAATCCTGGCAGTGCTGTGGGTTAAGCGTTGCACTGTTAACTACAAGGCCAGCAGTTTAAACCCACCTGCTGTTGTGTAGGAGAAAGATGAGATTGTCTGTTCCCATAAATATGTCTGGTCTCGGAAACCCTATGGGGCAGTTCTACAATTCCACTCTGTTCTATAGTGCTGCTATGAATCGGAATCAACTTGGTGGCAGTGGGCCTGGTTGTTTTAGTTTGGTTTTTATTTCATTTTATTAACAGAAGGTACCTATATACTTGAGTATAAACTACCCGACTATCAGCTGAGGCACCTAATTTTTTTTCTTACTTTTATTGGGGGCTCTTACATCTCTTATCACAATCCATACATTCATCTAGTGTGTCAAGCACATTTGCACATATGCTGCCATCATTTTCAAAGCATGCTCTTCCCACTTGAGCCTGATATCAGCTCCCCATTCTTCCCCCTTCCTCCCCTACCTGCCCTCCCTCCCTCACGAACCCTTGATGTTATAGATTATTATTTTCATATCTTACATCGTCCTCCATCGCTCCTCATCCACTTTTCCATTATTCGTCCCCCTGGGAGGGGGTTCTAGTTTGATCCTTGTGATCAATTCTCCCTTTCTCCCCCCACCCTCCCCCAATCCTCCCAGTATCTCTACTCTCATTGTTGGCCCTGAGGGGTTTATCTATCCTGGATTTCCTGTGTTGCTGGATCTTCTCTGTAGCAGTGTGCATGTTGTGGTCTAATCCGATTTATATGGCAGAACTGAGGTCATGATAATGGAGGGAAGGAAGCACCAAAGAAATAAAGGAAAATTGTGCTATACTGTACTGCACCCTGACTGGCTCATCTCTTCCCTGTGACCCCTCTGTGAGGGTATGTCCAATTGTCTACAGATGGGCAGTGGGTCTCCACTCCATGCCCGCCGTTCCCCACCTTCCCCCAGCCGCATTCACATTGGGTATGATTTTGTTCTAGGTCTTAGATGCCTGATACCTGATCCCATTGAGAGGCACCTAATTTTAGCATAAAAACTGCATTAAAAATGTGCTGGAAAAACTCGGCTTATACACGAGTATATTTGGTATTAATTGGGGCTTTGGAGTCGGGGCTTCTTACGGGTTGTGATGAGATCTGAAGACTGGGCAGAAAGGAGCAATGTC